CGTTTCCTTCCTTTCACCCCTTTTTCTCTGCAGGACTTGGAACCCTTTCGCCGCCAAGATGCCGCGGATTATGATTAAAGGCGGTGTGTGGCGAAACACCGAGGTAGGACTCTGATTGCTTTAGTCCCCCACCCCCCAAGGGCTGGGCCCTCAGCGGCGTGGGGGGGGTGGTGCGTCTTGCACTATTGCGCAGGAGCTGGTGGAGGGGTCGTGGTGCGCATGCGCACGGGGGTTATGACCTGCGGTGTCTTGTAACTGTGCGGTGCTGGGGGGAAATTAGGATCTTTCTGGGCCCTCTGTAGTGAGGGACATAGAGCCTTAGGTATCAACAGATGCTGTGGCTGGCTTGATTCCTCAGCGGCCTGGGTCTTCCTCCTCGTCCCCTGCCCTAGTAGGCAAAGGTCAAAGGGGTGATGTTTTCTTCTGAAGGCTGCGTGTTGGGGAGGTCAGGAAGCTCAGCTATGTGTTCCGCCGCAGCCCACCCCCCGGGGAAGCCGTCCCCGGAGCAGCTGGAGGGGATGTTTGGGCCGTGTTGTCTGTAGAGCTGTCCCTTTTGCATGCTGGAGTGTGTCTTACACTGCAGAGACAGGGTTCTTATTCTCCGGGGATATGAGGGAGCTGGAATCTCTTGCCCTTGAAGACCCTTTCTAATTCGGAAATGGTGAAGATGGGTACGAGCACTTCATCTGCAGCCTGAAGTGTTTTGTACCCAGAAATTTATGTGCTGTTCAAATAAGTGCAAAAAGCCACACCCCTCTCCCATTTGTGCCATCACGTGCTTTTGGAACTGCAAGAGATCGTGAAAAGGAAAATAATAACATGAGAAATCAAGGATGTATTAGATGGCATGTTTAAAGCCAAAGGAGGTAAATCTCGAACTCTGCCACTGTATGCTGTGAACACTAGGCACAAACATAGTTCCAAAAAGCAATGAAAAAAATTAGTGGAAGATAAATGTACTGTGTGCTGGGAAATGTATTAAGTGTGCTTTTAACCACTTCTGACGTATCAGCTGTCTGCCAGGAGGTCGGCAGAGAATAGGAAGAACCACCATGTGCGTACCCTCTTCTTACAGTCTTTCATAATTGGCTAGTTTTGGTGAATGTTAAAGAGAAACAGCAGGGGGTTAAGTAGATCATTGTTTCACCTTTTTGTGTACCAGAAATGAAACAGCTGTCCTTGGTGCTGTTTTTTTATTAACATTTTGGTTTTACATACAACATAAAAATTACAGAGAAAGGGAACGGTTGATATATGGTCATTATGAAAATGACCAATTACTTGGAAAAAAGCCTACTGATGCCATCAGTATGGCTGCTGCACACCAAGTAAAACGAGAGGAGGAGTTATTTATTTATTAATAGAAATTAGATGAATTGTTTTCTATAGCAGCTCAAGCCCAAGTTCATCAGCAGCTTGCAGTTAAAGCTGCTGTGTACTCTGAGAGATGTCAGTGCTAGACAGAGCATCTGTCCGTGATGACTAGCATCTGCACAATACAGCTGAACAGATTCTGAACACAACTACGAATACTTACTGGATACAGAAAGGCAACATCTGTGGTAGACAGGGCTGTAAGAATAGCTTTGATGCACTTAAAATACCACTTTCTGACCTGTGTGGAGCCCAGAAATAATGAGCCCATTTATCTGGGGAAGGAGGGGAGGGGGGGATTGATGGATGGATTGACAGACAGCTTGACAAGACTTCCAGCTTTTGATCAAATCTCAGTGCACACTTTGTATGTGAACAACCTGGCTCCCGAGCTGAATCCATTATATTTTTTTTCCCTCAGAATTCTATAAGCTTTGGGAGAAACACTTTTGGATGTTAGGTTTGGAACATTCAAGTGATTTATTTAAAGATTTACTTGTAAAAAAGAAACTTTATAGTAAAGTTCTGTTATTTTTTTTGATACCTTTTTTTTAACAGCATATTCTGTTGCTAGGTAAAGATTCCATTCGCATTAGAATATGATTAAAAAAAGAAGATAATGTCATATTATTATTTAAAACAAGCCACCCAAGGGTATCTATCAATTCTATTTTTTCCCAAACGTTCACATTCATCTTGAGAAGAAAATGTGTAAAAGAAGCAGCAGTGCTGTGCTGTTTCCACTGGGTCGGCCCATTGAATGAAATCCACTGCCTTGTCCTCTGCTTGAGCTGAAACTTTCTGTTTTGCAAGTTCTTGTGATCCGTAACAGCTTATTGGTTTTTTGGTTTTGTTTTTTAGGATGAAATTCTGAAAGCAGCTGTGATGAAATATGGCAAAAATCAGTGGTCTCGTATTGCTTCTTTATTGCATAGAAAATCAGCAAAGCAGTGCAAAGCCAGATGGTGAGTGAGAAGTGCCATGCCTGCGATTGAGATTCATAATTAGAAATTACCACAGATTAATTTATTTCTACAGAGGAACAATAATTTTAAGATTGTTTGATTTTTGCTGTTGGGAATATTTCAAATTCCTATTGCTTGAAAGTATTTGAACAAAAGTAACCAAATGGGGTTTTTTTTGCCAGTGACTGCAGTGTTAGCAAATGCATGATCACTTAAAATTCTGTGTATGTTTTTTTTTTACCCTGTATTAACACTTTTTTAATCACTCAGTGTTACCAAGTAAGTAAAATTGTAAGATATTAATCACTTTTACAGATAATTTTGTGATTTTTCATAAGGAGAGGTTGGTTTAAGGGTAAATGTTTAGAATTTGCATTATGGAATTTTACTTCTTATAAAAAAAATAAGCTTAAAACTAATGTAAATAGGTGCGGTACAAATCTATTTGAGAATTGAACTTAGTTTCTCAAGAACAGAACTGCACATGCTTATGAGAATACTTCTGTATAAAGGCAACAGTACCGGCACAGCTAGGGATTATTAAGATAACTGTTGAAGGATCCAGACCAAACAAATTTACCATTTCTGGTAAATTACCTTTGATTGTTGTGATTTTTGTTTTTCTTTTTCTGGATCAATTTTGTGACTCCTTACTTTGCCAGAACAGAGATGGGGAAAGGAAGAAGAGGCAGTATCCGTATGGAAAGTGCTGGATAAATAATACATTTTAAAACTCAAATACATATGTCATACTCTGGAGTAACATCCTTTTGTACAGAAAAACTTCTATGAAATTTGCATGCTATGATTTTGAAATCTCACTGTAATGATTGGGTAAATGCTGTTCTGAATTAATTCAGGAAAGCAGCGGATAGCTTGGATCTGTCACCCTTATTTCTTTCCACTTTTTAACAGGTATGAATGGCTAGACCCGAGCATCAAAAAGACAGAATGGTCACGGGAGGAGGAGGAGAAACTGTTGCATCTGGCCAAGCTAATGCCAACCCAGTGGAGAACCATTGCCCCAATTATTGGGAGAACTGCTGCACAGTGTTTGGAGCACTATGAATTTCTGCTGTGAGTTACTGCTTTGCTAGAAGTTCATACCAGGAAAATCTGAGGAGTTTGTGTTACTCCCTTCTCCCATGGTGCTGAAATATGGTGGTTTCAGGTTGACCGAGTCCTTTTATAAGCAAATCCTTAAGGACTGTTTCTTTTCAGTTGATGTACCTAACTTGAAAGAAGAAGCTTCTGTACCCTGGACAGCAGGCATGAATAGGTGTATGTTTTCTTGCTTTCTGGCTAGAGGAGTGTCAAGACTGATGATGGGCTTCCATTTCAGGTTGTTTTGGGCATTTTTTGCCTGGCTGATCAGCATGAGTAAGGCTGTGAGAAGAAAAAATGTTATGTGTCACCTCTGTGTGCTACAGAGGATTTCTTTAGGCCATGAGAAGAGAAGGAAAGGGCTGTTTTCCCTTGTGAGCTTTCGTAATTCTGGTGTAATTGGTTGAGTATAAAAGCATAATGGGAAATTCTTGATTGTTAGTTTTGTCACACTGCTTGAATTCTTGTCCTTACCGTTAAGGATTACCCGAGGAGAGTTCTGTACTATTAGCTTTGTCAATACTGTATTTTATATAATA